TACTTCGCCTGACATTGGAGATTTAAGGAAGCGCAACGTTTTTCATGAAAAATTAGACAGAACTTAGCAGCTGAAATTAAGTCGATTCCTTTGCCTCGGCTGCTAATAGTTTCATCTTTTTTGTCGCGCACTCAGTGAACTGATAACAAACTGATAACAAAAGTGTTGTGAATGAAAGTAAAACTTGGAGAAGTTCGGCCATCATTTTCATTTTCACTACATGACTCAGCTGTTATACTAGTTGTAAGCAAGTCAAAATATAAAGTCTGATACTTGATTCCATGTCAGGTTCTCCAAGTTAGGAGGTTAGACTCCGGAGGTTAGTCAGTCATTAGTCTTTCAAATTTGAGAGACGAAAATCCCCGAACCACTAATACATGCATATATTCCTAGTACCGTAATGTAATAGTAGGTAAAATATTCCTCAAAGACACTTTGTTTTCAGTCACGAACTATCATAAAAGTAGCATTAGCACAGGGTCATACATTGCCATTCCACGTGTGCAAGGTTCAGCAGAGATCATCCACAATTCCTTCTTTACACCATCTCGTTCGTCCTAGATAGACGCGATTTCGGTATTTCTTACTTCTAGAACTCTTGGGAGAAACTTCAAAGCTTTTTACGTTTCTTTCTATTGATAAGAACCGGTAACACCGTGAACTCACGATAACATTGAACAAGATCTTGTTAAAGGCGGGAAATAAAACTATGTAGAATAGACATTTGGATTTCACTCCGGCGCCTTCACAACTGACTAGGAATCTTTTAGCGCCATTAGGGAACGATGATCTTACAAAAATATGGCAGGTCACGATTCAATTTATTTTAAAGTAGCACCTCCAGTGTTCTCTCTACAAGAAGAGCTAGTGGGAGTGTTGAAGAACAGATCTTTACCGACCAGACGATGAGATTTAAGCCGATCAGGAACTCACCCGCGCCGCGGAAAGAAAGTGAATGAACATACTATTAGTATTTTCTTATTCACAGTATCCTCAATTAACACTTATGACATATTTTGGCCTTCCTACCTCGTACTAAAAAAGCTCGCAATAATCCAAGGACATTCTAGTGTTGTTGAGCCAACATGCTTTAATCTCCCTTGGTATTCTCTTTGTTGACTCAAGTGTCTGTAAACGTTTGTAGGTTAGGAACGGATTAACACTTTCACTTAGACAATATTCTCCGGCCTATTAATATACCAGTCGAGAATATGATGAACCAAATTTTCTGATGAAATGACATTTTTCCTTTTTACAAGCGAATGAGTAAAGCACATTTTCCTAGAAAGCTAGTTCGGCATGCAGAGGCTAACAAAGGATACATACTCATTTCACGATGCATACAACAGCGATTCTTGGCTAGAAACCTGTGCATGGCTGCTGCTTACACGATTTATGAATCGTTTCAAACAAAAAAAGATCGTGTACGTGGCCAGTGTATTGCTTTCGCTCGTTAAACCGAAGTAGTACGTACCTTTTCTTCTCGGTAAGGAAGGGGAACAGAGTACGGTTATGACCATAATACTTGGAAACAAAGTATACCACTGCATGGTAAGGAAATGATGAAATCAGTGTAATACACTGCCTTTTTAAAATTGTAAAGGAAAGTAAGCATTGACCACGTCTTTCTCTCGCTTCATCTTTCTCTGAGGATTTGATTTTGAACTTCCGAATATAATGAATAAAAGCTCACGGTAATAATCTCCCGAAAATAATAATGGAATACACTTTAGAATGGTAAATAATGGGGGTTATCAGCATATCGAGTCCAGGTGGTCTTTGAGGGAATGAGTAAAAACTCAATTCAGTTGGTTAAACGACTGATTTTATTAATCTGCTTGACGCATAATTTTTTTATGAACTAAGAAATAAATAATAGGTCTAGTTGTAACGTTGAAATTTCGAACGTCCATAGATAATCTACACGGGCAAGGTTACCATCATATGGAGAACACGATTGATAACACGTACACTCTTACACATTAACATCCTTTGAAAATAATGTATTTTAAAATTGCCAACCAAAATTTTTTGCTTATAATTAAATTTTAGAAGAACAAGAGTTGGTTAAGCAAGATTTTTGAGTCGGTGAAGTTGCACAAGAGCCTTCTTGGGAACGCAACACCGCCTCTTTAAGAGTGTGCGTTCACAAAAAAATTTTCTGTAGGTATTAAAATGTACAAAATTCACCGAAATGACACGCTCTAACCTGACAAGCAAATGGTCTGGTAATAACACCGTGGTAGAAGAACTAACTCGAGTGAAACAAATCATCGATGGTGCGATGCGAACTCCCTAAGATTGTGCTTTTCCGCACTTCAGCTTTATAGCCGAGTCCTGTGACAAAAAATGTAACTTTCATCATTAAAACGGCCACAGTGAATATGCTCGCCTCCTTGAAATACGTGTACAAGGCCTCGTATTTTTAACCAGCAGCCCTGGATAATCAGCTTTCCATGGTGATCACGGCTGCCAATCTAATTTCCCATTCTGGAAATTTCCTTACCGATCTAAAATGCATCAGTTAATTTTATAAGCTGATTTTTCATTTGCTCAAAAACTCCGAAAATACACGCACAATCTGTCGAATAATTTTGTCTTCTATCTTTCATTTTGCCTGGAAATCCTTGGTTTGCCACGTATTTTATTGATGGCAAATATTCTTCTTACTCAGTTTACTGCACTGCACGAGTGTTATTGTCGGAGAAAAAGTAACTAACAGGACTTTAAAATGAGGGTAAATGCATCTGTGTGGAAGTCACAGTTTCAAGATGAGCAATATCCTCGTACTATCATACAGTTAGCAGTTAAGACACTAGCGTCATATTTTGCCATTCCAGTGTGCGTGGTCCAGCTGGGATCGTCGTCCTCTTCATGTACTTCTTTACGCCATCTTGTTCGTCTGTTTTGAAACCATGTTCTGACTTGCGCTTCAGTAAGGCTTATTTCTGCGGCTAGTTTACACCGTCGAGACTTGGAGATGTATTTTTCGTTGACAAACTCTTCTTCGAGTTTTTGGAGCTGTTCTGGCGAGAAAAGAGGCCGTTGCTTCTGTCTCTTGATAGGTTTGCGAGGCCTTCGTGGGTTTGCATAGTTTGCTGTAAGTTAAATCAGTTGATAACATAATAGGTCTTTAACCGTAATAGTTAATATTTGGGCTTAAAAAAGAAAAATAAAAGTAACAACCAACTAAGCCCAAAAGACTGCAATATGTGCAGGTTACTGCAAATGAACATAGGAGTTGGCAAACTCAATTTTCTGCATTTCTCCAGTTCGTGGAGAGGACGCATTCAGAGCTGAAAGTACCCATTTACTGAGAAATCAGATATATGATTGGGGAGTTATCAGCATAACTTTTCCTTGCATTTTTTTTGCTCTTCATGACCTTCATGTCCGTCGCAGTTTTTTCCAAAGCCTGACAACGAACCAGAACTGTTAAATCAGTGCTTGAGTGTAATGTGTGTTCCTCATCGGCTACCGACGTAAATTTTCCAGAATCTCTTGGTGAGATATAACAATGTCAATTTCCACCTGTATCACAGGTCACGGTAAAATATCATTTTTTCAGTCTGACAAATCTATCAATATCACAATGGTTTCTGTGAATCAGAGGAATTGAATGCATTTTGAAAGGATTCCGTTTATTCAGGCACGTCAGTAAATTGCACGTCAGATTGTGCCAAAAGTGCCAGCTTCCGAAGTTCCATTGTATTTTTATTAAAGTGGAGATGTTTACCATTGCACGTATTGTTCGTATGCGTGTGCGTGGGGAACACACGAGTCCAGCGGAAATGCTTATAGGTTACTCTTAGCCAATAAATATAGCACATCCGCTAGCGTCCTCTCATATTCGGTCCACTTAAGCTTCAATTTTACGCTTCAGGAAATCAGTTTGAACTTTCCAAATATTTCCGAAAGTGATTGATAATTTTAGCCATCGCTAATCATGTTTGGCTAACTTAGTTAGCACCTTTGAGGTCGTTTTCGCAACTTCTTTGATACATCTAAACAATTGTGATGACTAATGCAGTCGACGGTTTTTTTCCACTTTGAAAAGCTCCCAAACAATGTCTACAGAAACAACGCCAAAGAATCAGATCATGGGAAACCGGCAGCTGTAAAATCCGATGAAACTTCGTTTTATGTCTTTTCCTGTTCTGATTCCGAGCAATTAAAAGGTCGGTAAACACCCCTTCTAATTACCCACTGAATATGTAGTGGTTCACGGAGTTCCTCTTCGAATAGATAAATGTTACACTTCACCATTCAAAAAAAATTATTATACGATATTGGCCTAATGTTAGTATTATATTTAAAGACACATCTCTGATTGTTCACCTCCTTTGGTGTGTATTTTGAAATTCTGACGCAAACATTATACAAAATGTTACGGCCTAAGCTAAAGGCTTGCAAGCCACATAAATTTATATTTCATTGCGAGTATTATTGTTTGGTGTATTAGATGTGCAAGCCCTTTTTAGCGTATTTATTTAAAAGAGCATTACCCTAAGAAGTTAACCTTTGCACGATTGAAACATAAATTGGGGAAAGAATACGTTTCACAGATATGTTTTTTTAAAATTTAATTCAAGTTCAGAAATCGCACGCTGGATAGCTGTTTATGAAGTGAAAAGTTATGCTCTCCAAGAAGGTGCTATTTCATGTATCACGTTGAGACGGGTCATACATGATTTATTGCAGTTCCGATGGGAGTCTGCTAAGGTAGAAAATGTTGCACCGCTTTACTTATGTATAACGTAGCTTCAAGGCTTCGTCATATCTTTTAATCTAATTTATATTATAACTAACCTGGAGGGATACCGTGCCTCGAATATCTCGTAGCATAAACCCATGCCGGCCAGACACTGTTTAGATCGAAGTTACCTTGTGCTGCACTCAAACCTGTGCCCTCTTTCACGGGGCGTGTTTTCCTTGCCGTGTTTTCGCTGGCAGGGGAAAGATTGGCGAATCTTTTATTATGTTCGTTGTCTTCACCTCGTCGGTCGTCGCAGAGACTGAGCAGGTTTTTAATGGAGAAAGGATGATTTAAGACGGATTTAGAAGGGATGACAGGGGAAAAAGCCGAGCCATATTTCACTCTAGAAGACATATTGCCTCAACTGATTATGTCCCTTCCCAGGTAAATTTCTTACAAGCAGTCAACTTCTCGGCTGCTTGGCACCAATATAAGTTAGTCTGGAGACTCCAGTCTCGCGCTTTGATAACCGGCTAATCATGACTCTGGAGTACTGTAACTTAATTGGCTCGTTGAGATACTGTAAATAGGTTGCGGTCAGGAAGCAGACATTTACACTCCCTTTGAACTCCCGTGCTTTCGTCGGAAAAGTCTTTCATCGCTTGTTGGGACAAACTTTAGAAGTCACACAGCGCAGTGAGAAATGACTAGTTTTAGTAAGAGGGAGAAAAGTGGTATAAGTTAAGTGGTGCGACTTAAGACAGAAATAAATACAAACTAGCATTGCCACACTTTCGTGCTGAGGGGCACATCTTTGCGAGGAAACAGTAGCACAGTTAAACTTCAATTTCTGTCACTTTCCGGACGGGAAATCATAATTTGCAAAGCATTTGAAAAGGTATTCGATGCAGAGACAGATTAATCTGTAATTTTTCAATCTTAGATTGCGCACATAACATTGTGCGATCCAATTCGGAAACGAATAGTCAGTCATTTAAGTCCACAATTGTAGGTCAACCTTATTTTATTTGACTAAGATCATTTTCCAAAGAAAACAAAGCGCTAAAAAGCAGGAAGGGTTACGATGGATAAATGCACAATGAAATTTATGACAATACTTAAGATAATGCAAAGTACCGTTCGGCTCACGGCTTCCCCGCCGTTTTGGAGCAGCGGCATCTTGTTTAGTTCTCAGCATGAACTCTGAGTATCACGACCACCCTTTGATCGTAGTAATTTGAACGATATCCTCCAGAAAATTTTACTAAGTGCCTGGGGAGGGGTTGAGAATGACTTTGAAAATCAGAGTGGAGTCACTTTTAGTTGCTAATATTCCAATTTGCTCTTACAAAATTTCAAAAAAGCCAGAGGATATAGTTTCCTCTCGGGTTCACGTTAAGGAGCCCCTTGTCGTAAGCACAGGATCCGAATGATCTCTTGATCGAACTGCAACGAGTAGGAACCTGCGGAAAAAAAACACCACACATACAAAACGCGTTGTTCTTCCTAATACACGGGCGCCTCAGACGTGCAGACATAAAAACAAGAGATGGTACATGCCATACCCACCACGATTGAGTGTCTGAGGTGACACCGCGCCACCATTTGATAAATTTGTCTCAACCGAAAACCAAAACTATAGAAAATCAGGAATGTCGGATGTATAGTATTTAAACTTTTAGAAATATTAAACTGATTATAAATACTATAGAGCAAAATTCCAGTATTGTGCTACTTATCCAATGTTATTCTCATGTTTGAGAAAAGACAACTTAAATTGAGTTATCTTCAGGCGCAACTTCCCTCTAGACTACAGGATATGAGAAAAAAGACATCTGATATTGGGGTATAAAGGACTTAACATCAACTAGCGGTGTCTGCCGTACCGATGACGGGAACATGTGGGCGTGTCATTCTTTGTGACAATCAGCACGAACGTTTTTAGATCATTGTCAAGGTAAGGTTAAAAACAAACCAGTTCCTTACGTCTGGTTTGTATTTCATTTCTAGTTATTCTCGAACCAGTACTGTGTACATTTCCCTGCGGTGACACACCTCCTATTGTTTTAGTAATTGTTTGCAGTTGATAGAATGGAATTTAAAATCTCTCTGCCAAGTAAAAGCATTCCATCACGAACTTTGATCGAGTGTTTTCGTTTGAAATAAGGCCGGAAGGAAGTACCTTTGTTCTGTGATATCTACCCTCCTTGTCCTTAAACCGAAATGGCCCAGAGGTAAGAGTTTGATTTGCGTCACAAGTGGCAGGTAGCTCTACTGCTCTCGAAAATTGGCTGTTGCGTGGGGACTGTACTTTTTACCTCCCTCTCTGAATATAAAATTGCATTCTTACTATGGGATACTCTTCGATCGATCGCATTAACATATTTTCACTTGATTATTCCTTTCAGTCATCCAATTATTTGTGAAAGACTGAATTATGTCGTTCATTTCAGGAATAATGACGAGTAAAACTATGAATCAAACTAACTTAGGGCTGGCAAAAACGGTATTCGTCTTTCTATTATTTAACCTTCGAGGCGAAGAGTGAAATTATACTGCTTTGTAAGATCACTTTCATTATTTCTTCCAAACCAACAATTTGAAGCTTAAAAGTTACATTGCCTCTACAGTAAATAAGTAAATAAAAATGAAAAGGTGAAAAATTAAGTTAGATGTGAACCATTGACTCGTCAATCAAAAGAAACCACTTCTTAGGGCTCGAAACTCGCAGTTTAATTTTGATATAACAGCAGATTTGTTCAAACATGTTTAGCCACATGTCTTCTTCATTTTTGGTATTCAACTTGAGTTAACTTTTCAATCGCAGTCAATCCCATAAACTGATATGAAACTAGTGATTTCTAATCTAAAACTATCAGGAAATACATTAAAATTACATAGATCAACGTTGTACAACTTATTACAAACGGCTCTTCAGGCGTTACTGTTTTTCTTTTGGTCATTTTACCCATGCAACTATGAAAACAACTGTTGAAAAGAACAATAAAACATTCCATCACGAACTTGTGTTTTCTGCAGTAATCCGGAAGGAAGACTAAACATGGGCTAAGTTTACACTTGATCAAAACCTATGTCTAAAACCAAGAGTTAGACTTCAGTCAGTTCGAGAAGAGTTGTATGCAAACCACGATTGTAGAAGATTTAGAAATAGAGTAATTCAAGACACGCAGTTCTACTCCAAACTGCATCAGATGCTTCACAGGATAATTTCTCACATTTGTCACGCTTCAAGAAATCAATATCCTCGTAAGGAGGATTTCCTTTATTGATTTACACTCTCAACACGAGTGGACATCCTTGGTCCCCGCTTTGTAACCTTTCAGTCCACCCTGCAGATAACTATAACTAAATAAGGTTAGAAATGAAAGCCAAGGGAACCTTTTGGCCGGTCGTGAATGGACAACTGACCGAATTGATGAAGATAACGTTTTAAAAAAATTCTTAAAGACAGAATAAAAGTGGCTATGAGCTATTGTACTCAGAAATCAGTGCTTACTAATGTTCAGTCTAACTCTTTTGTTAAACTAGAACTTTGCAAACATCCTTGGAAATGAATGATTAATCCTTGTCAGATACATCTGTTTTTGCTAAATTCCGCTTCGCACCGATCACATTCCTCGCTCGCTCCATAGGAGATGTGACTCCGTGAAAGAAAGCAATATTTTGCATGGTTTCTAGCGTTACGTGTGAGACGTGACCCCGTTCTGTACGATCTATGATCTGATATGATTTATATTTTATGTCAAACATGTGCCTATTGCACAGTTGATATACATGAGTCCGGTCCATTGTTAAACTGAGTCTCACTTCAATGCAATTTCCTCTATAATACAGTGTACTACTGTTATTTACTTTAGATTAACGCACAATGTCGCCCAAGCAGCTCAACGATACATAAACGTTGTATCGAGCCGAATAACTGGAATAAAAACAAACAAAAACCAAAAAAGGAAACTGAGTAATGTACCGTGATTTGCTGATTCCTTTTTCCATCACTGACACAATTGAAAAAGTCTTCAGCAATGTCGAGAAGAGAAAATCTGCCTGTTCTTTCTTTTGACTAGTCTAAAGCATTGTAAAATCATTACATAACTTTTGCATCATTGCTGAGTGCATTCATGCTTTCAATCTTTGGACGGCGGAAAACAAGATACGAAATTGTTGGATTACCAACATAAGCTTGCATACTGAAGTAACACTGTTTACTATTTTTGATGACAATCAACGAAACAATCGGCTTAGGAATCGTTCTAAGATTAAATGAAGAATTAGAATCGAACCAGACCAATTGCAGAAATACCGCTCTCCTCTTGAGAGGTTTCCTCGCTTAAATGAAAAACAGCTATTCATCTGTCGATGTTGAGTTTTTTTCCCATACCCAAGGTAGGAAATTTTTTTGGAAATTTATTTTGATCTTCTATTTTAAGGTCTTTTAATATAATCAATTATGTTTTTCACCACATAAAAGTGAACGTGAGAGAGCGTCAACGAATTGTTAACCAAAATGAAGTGAACCGCAACACATTCTATTCTAGTAACGCTTAACCCATTATTACATCCAAACTACTCTTCTGTGTGGAACATCAGTAAATCTAGCGATGAAATTCCCAAGAGTAAAGGGAGGAAGGAGGGATATTCAACGTATATTTGATTAGTATCAAATGGCTACTTTAAAACAAATTATATCCTGATTCTTTAAAATGGAGAACTAACTTTGATTAAATATATTTTTAGAATTTATCATTTCACTAAGAAAGTTTTTAACACACCAAAAGACACCTGACCTTCTTTCTCAAATCTGGCTTGCGATTAACGCATTGGGAATTAAGTGAAGAACTTTCAGTTTGTAATTATGGCCTTCTATCAGCCTGTACTTCATCTTTACTAACTTTTATGTAGGAGTCCATTATCTAACCTAACTTTCTGACGATTCAGTTAAATCTTTTAAAAGACTTTAGCTTGTATTCTCTGTTTCTAATTTGCCAAATTAATCATTATTATTTTGGTTATATTTGCATTCTTTAAGACCAGTCATTATTGATTGCCTGGGAAGTCAGAGGACAGTGGTTTCACCCCCTGTAGGGCTATAGCTACAGTATTTCGATGACGCCCTCCCACTCCATTAGTAGTTGTAATTTTCATATCCCCTCTCCTATGGTGTCTAAGCGAAAAATACTTATACTAATATCAAAAATCTATGCCGGCAGTACAGCCTAGAACTTATTGCCCTATAAAAGAGCTTTTTAACGGATGTTAACAACTACTACAGATGTGTCATCATCTACTACAAAATTAACTGTACTTTGTTAATCCAAATTGGTATAAACAAAATTTTCATAAATCTCGTTTTCCGCTATAGTTTTGTCACTAGTTCTCCCTGGGAATTGTATAAAAGTTTGACATAAGCAGAACAGCAAGCGGTTCCCTTTTTAACTTTACGACAACCGAGCGTGTTCAAATTAAATTTCAGCTTTAAATGCATGTTTTCTACATTCAGTCAATGCAATAGGAATAACTAACTCCATCAGAAAACAGTAACCAGCGTAGCCAGGCTCCTAAAAGAGGGAATAGAGTTGAAGAGAGGTTGTGAATGGGGTAAAAAGATACAATCAAATTTTCATACCCTCCCCTCCCCCACTTTATATTCTGTCAGTGGCGACTAATCTCGCCTCTCGTGATTCCCCAATATCCTTTGAACCCTCCCCTC